ATTAGTCGATCACGTGCACACCACGACGATCAACCGACAACTCCAAAGTGATCGGCCCGGTCGACGCAGTCCAACAAAGGTGGGAGGGCGAGCAAAGCGACGCGACGCCGATTTGTTTACCGCTACGCAGGGTGGGCTGAGGGAGAGGAGGGGGGAAATTGCGCCGAGTCGTTTTACACGCGAAGAGGAGGGAGGTCAAAGAGGGGCCTTGTTTATCGCGCCGCCAGCCGTGTCGAGCCGCGCGCACGCGCTAGCAGGCGCTAGCACGCGCTCTCGCATCTCTCGCGCTCTCGATTCTCAATGCGATCATCGATGCTTGCGCTCGAGTCTCGACGAGTTTTCCGGCGAGTTTTGGCTTCGCAAAAAAGATCTGCAATCCCCGCAGGGAGGAAACGATTAAGCTGGGCACGATAAGAATTTTCAACGTTCTCGATCTGACGGTTGCAGACCAGTAATCAAGACTTCTGCCGTCGTCTACTAGTAAGGAAGGAAGATTACCCGTCGGCGGCTCGGCGATTCTTCTCGCCGATGCTGTGACCGCCAAGAACTGAGCCCCTGAGATCCACGACGTCTCGCAAAGCCACGAGGCGTGCACGGTCACACAGACTTTTTAAATTATATACTGCCTCCCGTTCTGAAATCCTTGACATGCCTTTTCCCGACTTCCGACACGCTCGCTTCGGTCATAACGGAGCTCGGGCCGAGGTTGTGAGACTCGATTTCAACCAAAGGTAGTCCTGCGCGTTACTTCCTCGTAAACTCCAGATAGACCCACGTCCCCCTGTAAATCGGATCCCTACTCAACTTGCCGACCTCTGCGAACCGTTCCTCGACATTCCTAATGACCGTATCCTGAGCCTCCTTTGGGACGTGCGGCGCACCCGCCTTGTTCTTGATGATGACCGTAACCCTATGCCCCTTCTCCAAGAACTGTCGGCCCTTTTTCAACTTGTGCTCCAAATCATGCGTCGAGACACCCCAGGTCATTTGAATTTCCTTGGGTGGACTCCCCGTCGCAACGGAGGCTCCACCGCCGCCCGAAGACGACGGTGAAGCGTTGTTCCGAGCTTGTTCATTCTTATCCTTGATCGCTTGGGCCTTGTCCTTCTTCTTGTCGTATTCCTTCTTCTTGTCCAAGATCTTGCAAATCCCTTTATCTGTAGCGACGAGGAGGATGCTGTATCTTGTGCGATCGAGTTGGGAGAGGATCGTACGCAGTGGGGCGGGGGGGAGGAGCGCATTGGTTTCGGGGTCAACGAGGATGATTTGGCGGAGAGGTATGTCCTCGTCTTTGATTTGGGTCGATTTTTGGAGTGGTCGCTTGGGGGCGTTCGAGGTGGCGTAGGTGGAGACGGACCAGTGTGGGCGGAGGAGGACGGCCGAGGAGGAGGAAGAGGTGCTGGCTCGAAGCAAGGCGCCGGAGCAAGATGGGCAGCGCGATCGTAGTGGTGTAAGTTGACGTGCGAACGCGGACAAAGGGTTGAACGCCATGGCCGTGGTTGAGGAATCGGGTATGCGTTGAGGATGAGAAGGAAGCCAGAAGCGCATTCAGGTCATCATCGCCGGTCATCGCGCTCGTCGCTACGAGAGCATTCGAGCCGATTCGAGCCGAGCGCGCTCGACAACGCTCGACACGGCCTTCCCTCTCCTCCGTATCTGCTCTGCGACCACACCGCAGCCCACCACAACGAGCCCCATGTTCGCACCCCAGTCAAACTCGTCGCCTTTCCGCAACAACTCGTTCGGCGCGTTCGGCAACACCACCTCGGGCGCCAACAACACCTCGTCGCCCGGTGGGACGTCGTTCAACCCGGCCTCGACCTCGACCACCAACCAGAACCCATCCTGGGGCGCATCTTCCTCCTTCTACAGTACACAACCCAATCAGCAACAAGTGCGGGACAACAACATGGTCAACAGCAGCAGCACGGACAGCAGGCACAACAAGGCCAAGGACAAGTCTTTGGTAACTCGCAGGCTTACTCGAGCTGGAACCAGCCCGCTCAATCGAGCTACAACCACCACACCAATGTCGCATCACCCGCCACGGGGGGTTTATCGAACCAGGGTACACCCTTGGGCTCCCAACCTCCTCGCAAGAACTACCTCCCTGGATACCTTTCGGGTGTGCCGCTCTGGGACCAGTCAGTCTTTTCGCTCTTCGCTCTTTCACCGCCCAGCTGCTGATCCTTACTCGATCATCTGTCCAGTCCGACTCGAGCGGTGATTCCCCCTCCTTCAACCACCAAGATAACTCGCGAGTAGGCACGAGTGCATGGGATTCGCCCATGCCGAGCGCCTCCGAGTCGAGCATCAATCGGAGGTCGTCCTTGTCCGGCTCGCCTGGATCCCGGTTCGGGGCGAGTCAATCCTTATTCGGAATCTCTTCTCAGAGGGATGCGTAAGTGTTCCGCGTGGACCGGTTCTTAATTTTCAGCACTCATAAGTCGTTGACGAGACGCCTCCCACAGCTCGAATCCCGCCCGTTCACCATCGAGTTTCACCGCCCGTCAACTCCCCTACGGTCGCAACAGCCATCTCTCGTCCCAAAACGCCATGGACGACGACGCACCTCCCATTTCGTCGCTGAACGAATTCACCTCGGACAATAACACCCTCCCTTCTTCCCTCACTTCGGCGACGAACGCTTCCTCGTCCCCCTTTTCTCCGACCCACACCCCTCTCGCTCCCGCACCTTCTTCGCACACTACCAACTCGCCCGGATACCCCGTCCACATCTTTGGATTTCCTTCCACCTCAACCGAAACCGTGTTGTCCTACTTTTCCCAATTCGGCAGCGTCGAATCATACAAGACCTCGGAGGAAGGAGGTAATTGGCTCACGCTGATTTATAGCGAACCTTCGTCGGCGTTGAGAGCGAGTCGGAAGAATGGGGTCGTTTTGGGGAGGGTGTTGATGGTCGGGGTCAAGGTGGTGGATGAGGACGAATTGAGGAAAGCGATTGCTTTGGTTTCGGGGACGAACTCGTTTGGGAATGGGGTCGGAGAAGGCGAGAGGGAAGGTGCCTTGACGACCACGTCGACGAATACCATAACGGGTGCAGGGTCGAACCTCCAAGCCATGGGGAAAGCCAACGGTCTCAACGCCGTCGGCGCTGGTTCGTCTAGTAGTCGACCCGTCAACGTCCGAGGCCCACAACAAGCTTTCAAAGCCACGCCCAAGAAATCCTTTCTTTCCTCCGCCGCGCAAGTAGCAGCTTCGTCGGGGACACCTGCTTCCAAGGGAGAGGGAGGCGATGGGTATGCGAATTTGTTTGAGGATAAGCAGAGGATCGCACAGAGAAATGCGACGGGGGTCGTGGGTGCTGGGACGGGGAACGCGGGCGGGAAGGGGGTGTTGGGCAAGGTTAGTGATGCGATTTTTGGGTGGTGAGGATAAGAGGGGTCGCGTGTGTTGTGCTCATTTTGAGCGGGGAATGGAGCATGATATTCTTATGACGTCGATTGAGATTGGTGCTGTATGAACCGGTTCGGATATCCCCGATGCTTACAAAGGCTCGATTTCGAGCGTCGACAACTTGAAGTTCGGCCGTAAAGGGCGGCCCTCCCTATCTCTTCCTCGACTTGACTCACGTGGCTCCCCACATGAGATGAGGTCGGGCTGAAATCACGTCTTGTTGATCCTCGACTCGTCATAATCTGGGAGGCCCAAACACAAGAGCAGCCCCTAGATGACAAGTGACTTCGGGACATCTCCTCGGATCATCCCGACCAAGCCGATAATCCGAAAACTCGGCGTCATCCTCTCTTCTCCTTTCGCGTCGAGTTCCCGAAGGACACCCGACTCACGGGACTTCATCTAAAGTTGGAATTCACATGTCAAGTGAGTTGATCGCCGACTGGAGCAAGTCATCTCGACCGTTCTGGCGTGTCCGAATCCTTGGAAGGAATCGTTCCCGTCCCCGAACGAGAAGGCGCAGGGGCGTGTTTGGCCACCGCACCACCGCGCGCAGCTCGACTGGGCGTTTGACGTGCGCCCGTACGAGCCCGTGCACGAGGAAGCGTGCGCCCTGGAACGGTCTGCACATGGCTTGTTGCAGCCCTTTGCTTCTTCGCCCCACGCCTCGCACACATACTCTTGTCCTATCGCCGCGCACCGACCACTCAGACTCAACCCCTCCCCTCCCCTCCCAACAGACACTACTTGTATCCACGTTCCTGTGTGTGTTCCTGTGTGTGTGTGCGTGTCCATCACGCGCACCTCTCTCTGTCGAAAACGTCAGAGCGTTTCTCGCTGTCGTCGGTGGTCGTCGTCGTCGTCTCTCCCCACATCACTCACGCCCGCCTCGACGCATTCCCCACCCAGCCAACCCGGCCTCGCCCCCTCATCGTCGCGCCATCGTAGCCTTCCCATCTCCGCGATCCGCCTCCTTCATCCAACGTAGCTTGTGAATCGGCCTTTTCCGACCACGGCTACACCAAACATGTCGACGCCGACCGTCACATCCGCCGATGATGCGGGGTGGAGATTCGCACAGTGCTTCGGTGACAAGGTCAGTTGGGTCGTGGTGGTGGCCCCTTCCGATTCTAGGGCCCAGGGGCTCTTCTTCCAAGCCATGCGACTGACTTGGTCCGGATCTCTCTCGCAATAGGGTGAAGTTGAGGATATCACCGAGGCTGATATCATTTGTAAGTCCGGCAACGGGAAGGGGTCGCAGGTAGCCAGCGCAGGCAGACGGCCGTATCGGTCAGCGTCATCGGTCCGGATCCAAAGGCCCTGCGTCCGGTCACCCTCGTCTCCAGGGGTAGCTCACAAGCCATTGCGGAGAACTGACTTCAAATTTGCTTCTCGGCCCGAACGATTCCCACAAACCATCACAGCCACGGTCGAGTTCGATCACACGGGTGACTATCTCGCAACGGGGGACAAGGGCGGCCGCGTTTGTGCTCTTTGAACGCAACGAGACCAAGAAGGGGTGCGAGTACAAGTTCTACACCGAGTTCCAGTCGCACGAACCGAGTTCGACTACCTCAAGTCGCTCGAGATCGAGGAGAAGATCAACAAGATCCGATGGTGCAAGAGGCAGAATGCCGCCCACTTCCTGCTCTCGACCAATGGCAAGTTGCAAGCAACCACTACCCCTTTCCTTCCGCATGATTCGGGACTCGTTTTCTTCTGGTCGGGGTGATGTGGCGTTGGGAGTACTGCGACGCATGCATCTTGCTCGCATCGTTTTCTCGGACCGGTACACTCGCGCCCCGTTGCCCACCCGCGCCCTTCCCGCGCCTGTGCGCCAGCCAACCCAGCCAGTTTGGGCCAGCCGGAGGCTCAGCGAGCGAGGCCGCTGCTTGTGCAATTGGCAGACGCGGCGCGCGGGCGGGCGTCGCACCCCGCCTCCCGGTGGCATCCACCACACACCACCGCGAACCCGCCGAGATCACGTCCACCATCCTTCAAAGCTCTGAGCTGACGACGTGTGCTGCTTCCCGACGATCTTTACAGACAAGACAATCAAACTGTGGAAGGTGTTTGAGAAATCGCTCAAAGTCGTCGGCAGAGAACAATGGCTCGATCGCCTCCAACTCGAACGCGCTTGGCGGGGGAGCTCCACCTCGTCGCCGCCACCACCGCCTCCACCGATCGCGATCCGGGGCTGACGCCGTCCTCGCCAACGCGGGCAACGACCACTTCGAACGGGACACCGTACCTCCGATTGCCGCGTATGACCTACCACGACACGATTGTCGCGGCCGTGCCGAGGAAGGTTAATGCGAACGCGCATGCGTACCATATCAACTCGATCTCGATCAACTCGGATGGAGAGACCTACATGAGTGCCGATGATCTGAGAGTTAACCTGTGGAACCTCAACATTAGTGATCAGAGCTTTAGTGAGTGCAAGGTCGCCTTGGGAAGGTCTGAACCGGAGCGGAGTCGACCGCCCGAGTCGAACATCGCTGGCTCGATGAGCTGATCCATGGTGCGCTTTTTTTGCATTGACAGACATCCTCGATATCAAACCCGTCAACATGGGAGGAGCTGACCGAGGTCATCACCGCGGCCCGAGTTTCACCCCATCTCATGCAACCTGTTTTGCTATTCGAGTTCGAAAGGGACGGTCAAACTCGCCGACATGCGGGAACAGGCCCTGTGTGATAAGCATGGCGAAGCGTGAGTCGAGACTGTAATACGTGGGAAGGGTATGGATGAATTGAAGGTGGGGCTGACTCTGGTCATCGATCACGGTGTCGCCAGTGTACGAAGAGGAGGAGGATCCGTCGAACAAGTCCTTCTTCAGCGAGATCATCTCGTCCGTCTCGGACGTCAAGTTCTCCAAAGACGGGCGTTACATTCTCTCGCGTGACTATCTGACGCTCCGGATCTGGGACATCAACATGGAATCGCGACCTGTACAAACGATCAACGTGCATGACCATCTGAGGTCCAAGCTGTGCGATTTGTACGAGAACGATTGCATCTTTGACAAGTTCGAATGCACATTCTCTGGTGATGGGCAGTGAGTTGTTCATGATTTCTGTGGTTGATCAACGTGGATCGGTGTACTGACCAGTTGATTTTGCTCTGCGACCCTCGCGCCTCCACCCCTCTCCGCATCAACAGACACTCCTTTCCGGCTCTTACAAACAACCATTTCCACATCTACGACAAGGAAGCGACGACCGACATCGTCTTGCAGGCCGACAAGTCGGCGTTCAAGGCCAAGAAGATTGGGGGCAACAAGGCCAAGCAAGGTGCGGGCGCCAAAGGCGCGCAGGGGGCCAACAAGAAGCCCATCATCGACGTCGATTCGATCGACTTTAATAAGAAGATTCTGCATGGTCAGTACTTTAGCTGTGGGACGAGGAAAGTCTGGGACGAATGATGGATGCTGATGCTGATTTTATTGGGTGTGATACAGCTTCTTGGCACCCACGGGAGAGCACGATCGCGATCGCCGCAACCAACAACTTGTTCCTGTCAGTACCGATACTCACTACCAACGTCGTCTTTGTACCTACTGACTTCTGGTCTTGGTTTTTGACAGTTACTCACAAACGTCATCGTCAAGTGGAGCGGGAGGACCACCTTAGAACTCGACGCTTTTTCCTCAACTTTTGACCGTATCCACCTTTGCCGCCGTCGACGATTGCGGGATCTCGCCCCATATCACCATCGAGATATTCCTCTTTTTGTCCTCCACGGCGCGCTCGTCCTTAGCCATTGTGAAAGTTCTGCTCCTTCCACTCCATCTCACCCCTCCTATCGACGCACGTGCCCCCTTCCTCCCCTAGTTATGTGTACGAAAGTTTCACCCCCAGTTTGGCGTTCTTCATCTTTTTTTGACTACCTACCTAGCTCGACTCGAATGAAAGCTCGAAGCACTTGAAATTCCTAAAGAAGATCCCAAAACCTGTGAAATCGGCCTGGCATTTTGCAGAGAGCTCGACGGAAAACCGGAGCCCGGAATGCCGGTCGTTTGGGTTGCAAAAAAACTGGGGGGGTGGGGCCAAAAGCCCTTTACCCGTACGAGAGGATTGGCGACTTGAATACCAAAAAGTCCAGGGAGTCAGCCGGGATTCGAACCCGGGGCCTCTCGCATTTTCTAACCCAAAGCGAGAATCGTAAACCGCTAGACCACTAACCCCAGCATAGTAGCTGACGCACCTTGTTGGCATTTATATATTTGTAAGCATTGTTTTCGAATCCCCTCCCTTTCCCAAGGGGCTTGTTGATTCTCACTAGTTATTTGTCTATTAGATAGAGATAAAAAGCAACATAAAATGATGATAAATAATTAGGTAAAATATAAATAGGTCCTCATTTTAATTTATCTATAATTAATGAAGCATCGGGTGAATTGCAAGGACATTCCTGTAAGTTTTTAACTAGATTTTAAGAAAAGAAAAAGGGGGCAGTGGGTATTTAGTAGAAAGACTAGTTCGAACTTAAAATGATCCATCTGCTTCGATAAATCCTGCTAATCAAGCATTCGAACCTAGAGCTGAAGTATCAATAGGTAGTCCTACAATGTTAAGTGTACACCGTTCAACCTGTACCAGCTCCTTGTTCTACTAATGAACTAGCTAATAGTAAAATTAATGAAGGAGGTAGTAATCAGAAACTAATATTATTTAATCGTGGGAAAGCCATCAATTATATTATCCAAATAGCTCCGTCATGCCATTAGACCATAACCATGGTTGATTGAAATTTACGGTTTCATAAATTACCTAAAGCACGTTTTGTCCTTTTTGTCCTTTTTGTCCTTTTTGTCCTTTTTGGTCTAGACAAAAAACAGACAAAAAACAGACAAAAAAGACAAAAAATAAAGGGGGGGAGTGCTTCAATAATATTATCATTGTAAGTTAGCATTTGGGGATGCATTATATTAGAATCCTTCCATGAAAGCTCATTGGAAATCCGCAGGAGACGATTACTTGTAGAGTAATTCAATCCTCAGAGACTACATGTTTCCATCTTTTATTAAAAAAGAATAAGGTATAGTCCAAATTAGTTAGTAATAAGCTAAACACCATTGATACATGGCTATCAACTATTAATATATTAGGAGTCAGTATGGTCCTATCTTCTGGTGATAAAATTTATGTTCAAATTTATGTATTACCTGTCGGCCTAGACTTAACAAACACTAGATAACTCTCATAACTCAACCGCACTTAAACTCATTACTTTACCGTCCTTAGTCAAATTTTCAGGAATTTTATATTCACTGAAAATAATGTTCTGCAAGATAATCATCGAAGTTTAACATTGGCTGAGCTAAATACCCTATACTGGGTCAATCTGATTATTATTATTTCATAAATGGATACAAACCTAAATAAGGATGATACTGATTTACCGAAATTGAAGTAGATTGACTTTGTAAGCTGTTACAGGACAAATTTGGTCTAAATTGTTGGAGAAAATCTAATAAAGGAAGGCCAATCATTGCCGTATCAGGTCCGAATGATAATGAACAACTCATTATTAGGTAGTAAGGACCCGTCAATCAAAGAACTCTATACAACCCCACATTAGCCGATTTCATAGAAATCAACTGCTTAGTAGCTTCACTAAATGGAGCTCTATTCAACGCTGCCTTTCCCTTTTTTAACTTGTTAAAAACTTTTTTAACTTGTTAAAAACTTAGCTTTAGGGGCTATTTTGTCAGGTATTATGGTTATTACAGCTAAAAATCCCGTTATTTCTGTATTATTTTTAATTGCTGTATTCATTAATGTTGCAGGCTACTTAGTATTATTAGGTGTAGCTTGCATTATTGTATACATTACCACAATTAAAGAATTTTACTAAGGAGTTCATTACGTTACTTGATTGTACATTTAATACATCTACAGTAACACTTCCTGCATATTCAGACATTTTCTTTCTAGTGTTTGGCCTTTTTAATCCTAACATTTTTTTTCTCCTTTTTACTACAAAACTTATAGAAATAAGGCAATTTTCTAAAATTAGAAGCAAGACTTAGAATAGACTGATATCGGTAATGGATAGCATTATGTTTAATAGGATCATTTTCGCACGCGCCTCAACCGCCGGAGTCGCCAGACGAGCATCGTCTCGCTGGAGGATGTGGATGGCACCGAGACCGTTGACATGCAGGAGGCGCTGGGTATTGCTTCACGGCACGCGCAGTCGCTCTTCACGCCGGACCCAGCTCGTGGCGACCCGACGAACGCACGCCGGTCCCTGCTCGACCCTATTCGCGCAGCGAAATGCTACGATGACGACCGCTCGGACCCTACGTTCGGTCGTCGGCTGCCTCGTCAAGCGAGAGTGGCGCTTGACGAGCCCTTCACCCTCCTCGAGGTTGAAGCGGCGTTGAAGAAGACGGATTCGGGGCGATCACCGGGGCCCTCGGGCATTCCGTACGAGCTCTTCAAGGCGCTGCCAACCTACTTTGCTCCCAAGCTGTTGGACTTGTTCAACTCGATTTGGGAGGGCGGCAAAATGACGGCGTCCTTGGCAGAGGGACTGGTGCGGCTCTTGCCCAAGAATAAACCGGGGGCCAATCTGAAATCACTGGGGGCATACCGACCGATCACATTGCGCGAGACGACCTACAAGGTCCTCAGCAAGGTCTTGGTGGCGCGACTCAATGGGGTGCTCGGCGAGCTTTTACCGCCGGCGCAACACGGTTTCATGCCATCAAGACGTTCAGCGGACGCGGGAAGTCATCTCACTCTCCTTCTCGAAAAACTCAAGTCGCTAGGCACTGATGTTTTCCCCGAGGGCGCCCTCTTGTCTTTGGATCAGCAGAGCGCGTACGATCGGGTCGATCACGCCTGGATCTTCGAGGTCTTTGAGGCCTTTGGGTTCGGTGAGCGTTTCATCTCGCTGCTGCGCGCTCTCTACGATCCCGAGACTCTGGGGGTGCGCTACCTTGTCAATGGGTTCCCCACGGACTTGGTGCGGTTGCTGTGTGGTCTCGGTCAGGGGGATCCCTCTCGTGCCCGGTTTGGAACATCACGTTCCAGCCCTTCCTCGACGCCCTCGTTCGGCGCGGGATCGCGCTCGACCTGCAGAAGGTGTGGCCAGGGGGGCCGCGTGCGCAGCTTACGCATCTGGCGTTTGCCGACGATGCTGTGGTGGTGGTGGAGTCACCGGCGGCATTGTCGAAGCTGCAAACGCTGTCGCAGACGTGGTACGAGGCTACCAACGGGAAGACCAACACGGACAAGACGCTGGTGCTACCACTCGGACCGAACTGGCTTCGGGACGAGACTGCGCAGGCGCTGCCAACGGTGCAGGAGGGGGAGAGCTTCAAGTGGTGCGGCTATGCCTTCTTTCGCCACGGTGACTCGAAACTGTTTTGGACCCATGTTCTTGACAGGATCAAGGCCAAGACCCGCGCCGCTCGAGACCGGACACTTTCGCCGAGTGGGAAGGTTTTCTATGCCAACGCTCACATCATCTCGACGGTCCTCCACGTGCTGTCCTTCGACATACCGCCTCAATGGTTCATTAAGGCGGCGGAGACGGCACTTACGGACTTTGTCTGGGGAGGAGCAGGGCGAAATACCGTCGCTCGCGATTTCGTGTTCCAGGCTCGGGAGGACGGTGGCTTGGGTTTGATTTCGATTGGCGACATCGTTCATTCGGTGGCGCTTCGATTTTGGGATGCTGTGGCGGGCTCGGACGAGGCGATCTGGGCGCCCCTAGCTCGCGAGAGCTGGAGGTGCCTCGTCGCTGCGACCCGCGATTTCAGTCCGTGGGGGTTCTTCAGCAGCACGGCTCGGGTCGAGAAGCTGTATCGCGACTCGACGCGCTGGGGGGCAGTCGTTGCAGCGGCCAGGGTCACAGTTCCAACCATCAAGTCCGAACTCCTTACGCTTCCCGAATTGCTCTCGCTTCCGCCTCGCCTCCCTTCACTCTATGCTGAAGGTGCCCAGCACGCATATGACGATGCGGACGCGGTGGCGAAGTTTGCGCAGATCGCGGACCTGTACTGGAGGGACGAAGGGAAGGGATGGGCTCTGGTTGGTCATCGACGCGGGTTCTGGCAGCACTCTAAGGAACCCGCCCTACAGCACGAGCACGTGTGGTCGCGCGTGGGTCAGTTGCTCAAGGCGAAAGCGTTGCTGCCCAAGACCGCGTTGCGACCTGCTCGGATACCTCTCAAGGAGGCTCCCCGTCCTCGGTGCTTCAACTTCTTTGGGCTCTCCCGACCTTTTACGATTCGCAAGCTTCGTCGGCTTGTGAACAAGGTGCGGTTCCCAGGGAGGGAGGACCGTGTCAAGCGTTTCCCTGATGGGACTTCTCAGAGCGATAGGAAGCGCTTCTGGAGATGGCTTCATGACCGGTTCGCGTCTGCTGTCGAGCAGGACACCCACTGGCGGTTCATGTACGACGTGACGCCGACGCGCAAGAGGCAGTATACTCAGGGTCATGCCTCTTCGCCGACGTGTCTGTTCTGCGGCAACGATGCAGCGGTCATCGAGACGGTGTCCCACTACTTTTTCGAGTGCGCGTACTCGACCAGCTTCTGGGGTGGGGTGCTACGCATTCTGCTTGACAAGCTCGGCATCGAGGATACCGACGTCGATCCGTCGACGTTCACTCCGGA